AAAAAAAAAAAAAAAAAAAAAAAAAAAAAAAAAAAAAAAAAAAAACACCAAACCACAAAACCAAAAACAAAACAAAACAAAAAACAAAACAACCATGTTAAAACACTCCAAACCAAAACAAACAAAAAAAAATCCCACTTCATTTCTAAGCCTATATTAGGTAAAATAAGAAAAGTAATTAAAGCGCTGCAAAAATCTGAAGGAAAAAAATGGAAAATCCTGGGATCATTTAAAAAATTAAGGCCAGCTCCAGAAATTATATTTATTATGATAAAAATAGCACCTAGGTCCAAAATAACTTTGAAAAGATACGCATACTTAGACTGAAATTTTGAAAGACATTTGGAGTTGAATGACATGAATCCAACTAACAAGCCAGTTACATAAAAACAGTAATTTTTAAAAGCTATTACCAGCTATAAGTATCATAAATGAATGCATTCTCACAATATTCTAATGAAAACATAAAAAAAATTTAGGACCTGCACACAGCAGTATAATGTAATAATCACTGTTATGTGAAGAACTATAGGAGGTAAAGGTGGAGCTATCATGTAACACACCCCTAAGAAAAGGCAAACACCACCATAGAAGAAGCAACTTGAAAGAGTTATTGAAGACCTAAGAAAAGGAATTTGAAGATTCATCAATATCTAGCTGATACAAGCTGTGAAAACGTAAATATTATACTGCCCAACTAAAAGAGATTACAAATAACAATAAAAACAAGAGGAAAAGAATCCAGAAAAAAAGAAAGCAGGAATTCCAAACTCCTTTAAATCAGCAAGTGAAAGCAAAAATTAAAAGTTAAGGTGACATAAAGAGTCAAAGCAATACAAAATAAATGATTCAATACCAATCAAAAACTTTACTGAGAAGTTTAAAATAAGGGGTGAAACAGAACTCCCAAAGGAGGAAGACGTGAAAAATTATCAAATGAAAAACAAAGTTTCACACCATCTACCTAATGAACATAAAGAACAGTCATGTCAAGTGAGGTTGATAAATCAGTTTCTCCATAAAATTGGTAAGAGCCATAATTATTGGATCAAACACTTCATAGCTAATTACAAATTACTAGCAAGGCACTCTACCAACTTCCTTTGTATGTACTTATATATCAATGAGGACGAACATTTCCACATAAAAAGCAAAACAGGAAAAAAAAAAACCCCAGACCATAATCAAGTTGCGAGGCTCTATTACTCAATTTTAAAAGGTATACATCACACCAAATTTAACATGATAGTACCCTTCTGCTCTCTTCTGTGCATTCAAGGTTTTAGTGATACTTTTTCTTCTTTTCTTCCCATAAGTTATGATGTATACATTTATATCAAAACGTATGTATCCCAGGGACTCCTGAATCCTCCAAAGAGAGGTCAATATGTGCTTATATACTTCATAGAAAGCATTCAACAGCTTGCATTATGGGAAAAAAAAAAGAACCCAAAAACTCTCACAACAAAAATTCAAAGTATTGACTGAGTAAAAAAGTGCCCAAAAAATACCAGTAGTGTAAAAAGAGTACCTTTTCAAATTTTTTTCTAATTTAAATTTAAAGTTAAATTCATTGATCACGAATTTGCATCAACAGAAACTGCTTATGATCATTTGCCTCCTTTGGCAACTACAAAATCCATGACAAATTTCAACACTCATTGAAATCTCACAGAAATAAAGGAATATTTACTGTACTGGTCAAACCAAAAGAGATACTAAGTATCGTCCATTCCTCTGTCAATATGTTATACATCACTTTCGTAAATGATTTCGATGAAATTTTTGGATGTTTCCTCTCATATCCCAGAAGCTACTTTCTCTCATCCTCCAGTATCAATTAGTATAGTACTCATTAAGAAAACAAACAAACAAAAAAAACCAAAACTAACTGTTCTACTTATGAGACATGTTCAAAATTTTTCTAAATGGCACATTCTGTTTCTTCACAGAGGCAGTCATCTCAACAGTACAGACTAAGCTCCAATTCATATGTACTTCCTAAAGTTCCTAAAGCTCTAAAGGAAAGTCATGACTGGCATGCAGAAATAAGCATAGTGACCATAGTGGTGTATTTTCATTCTTCTCCTCTAGGCTGACAGAAAACCTACATTGGAAAGCTGTTGACCTCAATTTTATATTGGTAAGCAGAAGGAAGGGGAAAAGCATTTATGTAATGCCTAGTACGTGCTAGGCACTGTATTAAGAGCTTTGTTCACATAGCCCTAAAAATGTATTTAATGAGAAAAACACTTTATAATTTTGCCTATCTTGACTCTAACATCTAACTTTCCCTCCCAAGTTGATGTAATTGCTATACGGAGCAGTGTTTAATATCTTCTAGAGCTTCATTCTGTCTGCCTAATGTCCATGATCTAAATTAAGTATGCATACAAAACCAACACCAAAAAAGCCCTACAACTGGGGTGAAAATAATTTGCTCAAATTAATGATGAAATAATGTTTGAAAAGCTTCTGAAATGACAAGGGGCTTGTCATTTGTGAAATGATCACCAACAATAACTAAAAGAATGCATGACTGAGCTTCTATCAATGTTAATTCCTGGAGAGTTGCCACACTTGCCCTCAAAATTACATTTTCCTCAATTACTGGGATATTCAGATAGTGTTCTGCTTTTAAAAATACAAATAAGGAAGCTATTTTCCACATTACAAAAGTATAAATAGAGGTTGGAACACCTACAGAGTCCTTCTTACGAGATCTCTCCTTCTTCATTTTTCCTCCAGCTGCACGAATACTGACTCTATTTTCTCCTCCAAGGTAACCTCGGCAATTTGCTGAGCCACAGAAACATTTCTGAGCTTCTTTCCTAGCAAAGGAACACAAGGAAGACATCAGTTAAACTGAATAAGCAGTACAATAAAAATTTTAAATGGTGTATTACCTTCAGAAAACATTTGCAAATATATGAAAGGGTTTTTAGTCCATATCATAACAAGGATTAGTTTAAGGAATTGGAGAGTATTAAGCATATAGAACTAAGGGGAGACATGATAAGGATGATGGTATTTGAAGGGCTACTGCTTCAAGTGGAATTCAATCTGACAAGCACTTCTTAAGTAACTACTATGTGACAGGCAGTGGGGCAAGGTGCAGGAGATATGCTTGGTCTGAGAAGGCATGAACATAAGCAACAAATAATTGCAAAGAAAAATTTAGGCTTGAAGCAAATAATAACTTCCCAACAATTAGAATTATCCGAAGAGAGAATGGGTTAGGGTCAGGCACAAATCAATTCCCCCTCATTTGAGGTTTTCAAGCAAAGGATATGAACCCATATCAGATTTATCACTGAGAGAATTCTTGTTCAGGGATGGGCCATAATCGATGGTCTCCAGAATCCCTTTCGATTTTATGACTTTGTAACTTTGATAGCAGAGCCACACAATATTAAAAATTAGAAGGGACATTAATTATTATCTAATTTTTTTTTTGAGACAATCAGGGTTAAGAGACTTGCCCAGGGTCACATGGCTAGTTAAGTGTCTGAAGCTGGATTTGAACTCAGGTGTTCCTGACCCCCGAGCCCCAGTGATCCAGAACCACTGCACCACCTAGCTACCCTTAATTTATTCTTATATCACATGCATGAATCTCATCTACCATCACTGTAGGCTTTTCCTAATGTAAGCCTTGAGTTTCTCTCCTCTGGTCTTCTTTAATGGCATTATTATTCTCTTAGTAACCCAAATCAAAACTCTGAAATGTCTGACTGCTTCTCCTTATTTCCTGTATGTAATCACTGGCCACTTGCTCGCAATATCATTCTTACCTCTCCATCATTTCTTGATACCATCCCAGATCAGACTCTCATTACTTTAAACCTGGACTAATCTTCCTAATCAATTTTGCTATGATCCTCTCTGCATAGGCTTACTAAGAGAGGAGGGATGACTCTCACTGCACTCTACCCCAATACCACCATATCTGAACTATTGTATTAAGTGATACCCATGTAACAGCTGAAGTGGAAGAAAAAAAGGTTGTACTTGCTCCATTTGGGACATATTACTCAAAAGGCAACCCCTAAGTGTATCTATATTCTTGCAAATGGAACCAAGTTGGATTGTTTAGTTTCTTATTCTACATTTTCTCCAGAATATAATCTCGCTTCCCCCCAAAAATATACTTTTATAGTACTTCAATCCACTATCATTGTATAAAATAGCAAGGTTGAAAAGAATAATCCACAATTTAATAAAAAGTAACTAGCAAGCCACATTACTAAATTAGAACTTTGAAGCAGTCAGCATATGGTTTTTCTTACAGAAGCAAAGAAGCTGATTCAACTAGGAAAAATGCCTGGTTGGAAATATCTAGGAGAAGAGCTCTTGGAAATGCAAGACACTCAACCACACTGTTCATAGAATCCATGCCTTCCTGAGTAGGTACATCTCCAAGTTATTGGGTCTATTAGTATTTTACCCAGGAAAAAAAATTTTAATTAGCTTATTCCTAAGTTCTCCAAATCTAAAATACATAGAGAAAAACATAAATAAGAGTGGAACTCTGCATGAAGAAACACCAGTTAGTTGCCACAGAATATCACCTAATGGCCAGGAGGGGAGTTTATCACATTTATATAGTTTTCATCTGTTAACTGGATAACCCAGTCACCAGAAATTGGTTTATTATAATTTGAGTCCTGTTCCCTTCCTGCCAAAGTTTACGTAAGGGAAATATGCACACGTCAGCATGAATGCAAGAAAAAGTATATGAACAAGATTATATAAAAAAAATAAGTGACAGGCTTGGCATAGCAAAGTAACAAGATCATTTTATACTAAAACAATACTGGTGGTAATAATAATAATAATGACAATGTTGATGATAACAACTGACACTTGACACAGCACTTTACGGTTTACAAAGTTCTTCGATATACTCTCACATTTGATCTTCACAACAGCCCTGGATACAATAGGTAATTTTGGTAATATCAACAAGACTGTCTCTTGTCTCCTGGAGTAAATTAATTCCCAAGACTGGTTATTTTTCAAATATCCCTTTAGAAATACTGAACAGGGCCATACTGATAAAGACTAAATCTAGATAACTGAAAAAAATCTCACTGTATGCATTATGGTCCTTTAGCTTCTGAAAAAAACTGCTGCTGCCAAAAAAAACATCAGATTAAAAAAATCTTTTCATTTCACACATCATTTCCATGACCTTGAACCCAGAGTACACCCACCAAAATAGATTTAAAAAAAAATTTTAAACATACCCATATCGTTGAAACTGATAATCAAATGTTAACTCTGAACCTGAAGGAACCAATTTAGTAGTGAAAAAGCCAACCCTCAGCTGTCCATTCACAGTCCACTGAAAGAATATGAGATAAGGGGAAGGAAAATTATAATGGAACCAGAATTTCTTTAAATAATTTTTTTAAAAAATCAGTCTTTTCATTTTTAACATTCAATGTAAATAAGCACAGGGCATTTCAGAATATAAACATGTAGAAGTCTGAATAAAAGGAATTAGCACATAATACAGGTGTTATATCCATTTTGCAGAGAAAGAAACTGAGGCTCAAATGTAAATGATTTGTGTATTATCATACAGCTACAAAATGTTTGGGGTAAGACTTTAGTGCTCTTTTCAATATAATATCCAATCTTTCACTATAAGACACTGAAGCTCTGATACAACAGCACCATCAATCTGAGTAATTTTAGCTCTGTCTGACATGGCTATATCTTGCCTAACATTAACCAAGCCATAGGAGCAATGTTATTAATGGAGAATTATTTCAATCAAACAAAGCATTTATAAAGTGCCTACTAAGTATCAGGCACTATGTTATATACTGGGAATAGAAAGACAAATAATGAAAATACCTATTTACAAGAAGCTTACATTCTATTACGGGACACAAGTACATGTCCACATACATGAATGTAGAGAGAATATATACATAAACTATTTAAATGTAATGAATTTTGGAAGGACAGCACCATAGTTAGGTAGATTGAGGAAGTCTTCTTGTAAAAGGTGGTACATCAGTGACCTCTTGAAAGAAGACAGGGATTCTCTTAGGTGGAGGTGAAGGAGAGCATTCTAGATATAGGGGACTACTGATACAAAGGCATGAAGATGGGAGATGGAATGCCATGTGCAAGAACCAGAGAGACCAGTAAAACTGAATCATAGAAAGCAAAAAAATAATGCATAATGAGGTCTAAAATTAAACATATTGGGACAAAGTTATAAAGAACTTCAAAAGCTAAACAGATGAATATACATCACACCCTAAAAGCAGAGGTGGAGAACCTGCAGCCTCAAGGCCACAGGTGGCCCTCTAAGGTCGTCAAGTGCAGCCCTTTGACTAAAACTCTTTAATAAAAGGATTTGTTCTGTAAAACTTGGACTGAGTCAAAAGGCCACACCCAAGGACCTAAAAGGCCACATGTGTCCAAGAGGCTACAGGTTCCCCACCCCTACCTAGAGCAAGTGTTCTTAACTAGGATCCATGAACTGCATTTTATGCATTTAAAAACATTATTCTGAGAAGAGATCCATAGGCATCAGACTACCAAAAGAGTCCATGACACAAAAAAGGTTAAGAATCCCTATCCCAGAGGTGATAGCGAATCCTTGGAATTTAAGAAGGGAAAGACATGATAAGATCTATGCTTTAGAAAAACGAATCTGACGGCTATGAGGAAGGTGGGGAGGAGACTTAAGGCAGAGAGGCAAATAGGAGGCTTTTGCAATAATCTAGGCTAGAGGTGGTAGGATATGGCTATGTTGCAAGACAAACAGGCAAGATTTGACAAATGACTGGATATAAATAGATTGAAGAAGGCTAAGGTGTCAAAAATAACAAGATTACAAACCTGGGAAACCAAAAGAATGACAATGCCTTTGAAAGAACTAGTGATAGCTAGGGAGAGTGTATAGGGACAGGGTGGGGTAGAAACGCAATGAGCTTAGTTTTACACAAGTTGAGTTTGAGATGTCTCTGGTATAGACAATTTGAAACATATCAATTGATGATGTGGAACTGAATCTCAGGGGAGAAACTGAGGCTGACTATATGGATTTATGAGACAATTATATAGAGATAATAATTAAATGCATGGTAACTGATAAAGTCATCAAGACAGAGAATAGTTCCCAACAGAACCTTGAGAACACCCACTCTATCATGGGCCTGATATGGAAGATGAGCTAGTAAAAAAAGATGGCAACAAAACAGGAATGAGAACCAGGTGAAAGCAGTGTGACAAAAATCCAGATAGACTACATAAAGAGAAAAAGGCAGCAGGTCTATAGTGCCAAAATACTGCAGACAAGCAGAGAAGGATGAGAGCTCAGAAAAGACCATCAGGGGGAAGCTAGGTGGCACAGTGGATACAGTACTGGCCCTGGAGTCAGGAGGACCCAAGTTCAAATCCAGCCTCAGACACTTGACACTTACTAGTTGTGTGACCCTGGTTAAGTTGCTTAACCCCACTGCCCAGCCAAAAAAACAAAAAAACAAAACCAAAAAAACTATCAGATACTGTAATTTTAAGAAGACAGCTTTGGAATTAACTAGAGAAAAAGCAAGTGAACACAATGTGTGGTCATATTTTTCTAAGGGTATAAGTGGAAAAGTGAAGATAAAGGAGCATTTGGGAGAATGGCAGGACTTAGCAAAGTTTTTTAATGGGAGGAGGCAGTGAGGTAGAGAACAGTCAGCATAGTTGAGAGGTTACAATCTGCGGGAGATAGAAGGGGACGGGAATGTGAACCAGAGTATGAGTAGAGGAAATGGCTATGGTGTGGAGTAAGGCCACCTTACTGTTAAGAGAGTAGGAATGATGTCAAGGGTTTTGAGATGAAGAGTTCTGAACAACACTATAGGTTTCTGAGACATTAGGGGGATACTAGTTTATAATATATGATATTAATGCCTGATGCTCCTCACTATGTGGTTTTGTATTCTGATAAATGGAAAAGTCGACATTTTATAAATTCACTTTTATTTTAAATATACTAGAAGAAACCCTACTTAACTAATTGAATTCAATTCATTCATTCATTCAATTCTGTATCAGGAAACACTTATTAAGAGACTATTTATAAGGCACTATATGCTAAGCACTAGGAATAAATAAAAATACAAGAGCCCATGACCTCAAGGAACTTATATTCTAGTGGGATATAATATGTACACAGATAAGTAAATGCAAACTAATTTGAGAAAAGAGAAATCACTAATAACTACAGAGAAAGATAAGGATTCACATAAGAGGTAGCACCATAGCCAATTCTTAAATATTCTTTCATCTATATGCACATATATATTGGGAGGTAAGGATAACAAATGAGACTCAATAGTACTATTAAGATGCCATAACTGAGTCTAGTCAACAAGTGTTTATTAACCCTATGGGTCAGAAACTGTACTAAGCACTGGGGATAGAAAGGCAAAAACCAGACCTAGCTCTCAAGGAGTTCAGAGCCCACACAAACAACTACATACAAACAAGATATAGCCAGGATAAATTGGAAATAATCTCAGAGCAAGACACAAGCATTAAGGAGCATAGAGAATGGCTTTTGTAAAAGGGGGGATTTTAACTGGGATTTGAAGGAAGTCAAGAGGTGGAAATGAGGAGAGAATTTCAGGCATGAGGACAGTAGGTAAAAATGAAGGGAACTGGGAGATATCTTGTGCATAGTACAGCAAGGAAGCCACTGTCATTGGACTGCAAAGTATGTGGTGAGGGGGTGGGGGTAGGGGTGGAAGGAGTACAATCGCTGGAGTTTACTGAACAGGGAACCAGGGAATAGGGAACATGGCCTAACCTGTGACTTAGGAAAATCAATTTAATAGCTTAGTGGAGGATGGATGCTGGTGGGAAACCAGAAAACTATATTGCAACAGTCTAGGTAAGGTATAAGGGGATGCATAAGGGTGGTGGCAGGGTCAGTAGAAGGAAGGGGGCATAAATGGGATGTTGCAAGGGTAGAAGAGAATTAGCACAACTTGGAAAAAGACTGGATATAGGGAGTGAGAATGAAGAGTCAAGGATGATGCTTAGATTGTGAGACTGAGTGACTAAGAGGATGGAGGTACCCTGGACAAAAATAGGTAAGTTAGGAAAGAGGGAGGATTCAGTTTTATACAATGCTGAGTTTAAGATATCTATGTGACATTCAGTTCAAGATGTCCAACTAGGCAGATGGAGATGTGAGACTGGAGGTCAAAGAGAGAGGTTAGGGTTGAGTAAGTAAATCTGGAAATCACCAGTATAGAGATAATCACTGAATCTATGGGAACTGATGAGACTGCCAAGTGAAATACTATAGAGGGAGAAAGGGGCTCAAGACAGGGCCCTGTGGGACACCCTACTGGGCACAACCTGGATGGAGATCCGGCAAAGCATACCGTATAGGAGTGGTCCTACCATATAGGTAGGAAAAATACCAGGAGAGAACACTTAGAAAAACCCAGAGATAAAAGAGTGTCAAGGAGAAACGGGTGATTAACAGTGTATAAGGTTGCAGAAAGGTCACTGAGGATTGAGAAAAGGACATTAGATTTGGCAATTAAGAGATCATTGTTAACTTTGAAGGGAGATGTTTCAGTTGAATAATGAGTTTTAAGAAGAGAAAGGACATAAATGGAGGCACCAATGGTAGATGACCTTCTCAACACTGGAGAGATCAAGTGAAAGTTTTTGAGGAAAACCTTGTGGCATTTCCCATAAAGGAAGGGGAGTGTGGGAAGTCTTGGATAGGCAATACGAAAACAGGCAGTAAACAGGGAGTAGACAGATTAATAATAATCTGCAAAATCAAGCTGAGTTAGGGATGAGAATAGTGAAAGCAAGTAAGAACCACAATAAAAAATTCCATGTCTTTCAACATAAAAAGTAACATTTCAATTAGAGAAAATTACTTAAGGTTCACGAAAAACAAGCAATGATAGGTTCCAATATGTCCTATAATTTCTCCCACCAAATGTTCTTCCTTTCATCACATTCTTAGTAGCTAACCTTGCTGGTGACTGAGAGATGACCCCTATATAACTCCTGATGTTGCACCAAAAGCATCTCTTTTTGAAGTCTAACAGCTCTCTTTCATACTACAAATCCCAGAAAGTGAAGTGCTAGGAGAAGGTGGTAGGCATTTCCTCAACACTCCCCAAAACAATAGTATGCATTTTATTTTACAAGCTTTGCCTCTTGCTGGGTTGCTGCTACTGTTGTAGTTATTTCGTGAAGCATCTAAGGCTTCCCAAGGAATTTTTTTTGGTAGAGGGGTATAAAAGAGAGGAAAATGACACTGACTCACTTCTGGTTTTTTGTTTGTTTTTGTTAGGAAATTGGGGTTAAATGACTTGCCCAGGGTCACAGAGCTAGTAAGTGTCAGGTATCTGAAGCTGGATCTGAACTCAGGTTCTCCTGCCACCTGGGCCAGTGCTCTTTTCACCTAGCTGCCCCCACTGATTCACTTCTGTTAGCCTCCTCCCTAAGCCCCATCAAGACTAAGGTACAAGTACTACCTATCTAAAATTGCAGTGGTAGAATAATTTTAAGGTATAGCTATGTACATGATTTTTTTCCCTTTTAAAAATATCTCAATTTAGAACATCTGCCTATATTTAGGTACAACCTATATAGGGAGGAATAAAGCAGTTAGAAGTGTGCCCTACAGTAAAAATATTTTAATGCATAAAAGTCTTGACATAAACAAACGTCTGGAGAGAAAGGGTAAGGATAAGTTACGAATGATTGTTACAAAGAATTTCTTTAAATAACATGACATACAAAAACTTGAATTCTATACAGATTTTCAGGTAATAAATTTGTCATGTAAATTATTTAAGTATGTAAAAAATACATGTATTATTTCTTGGAGTTAAAATATTTTATACTATTTTAATGGTGGTTAAAATTTTATTCAATAAAAGGTGCTAAAAGAATGTACACTTCATCTTTTCATCATAGCTATGATTTTAAAGTTTCAATTGTACACTACTTACCTTCTGTGTCTCACAGTTTGGCTCACAGCTGTGGTTCATGAAACGAGAGCAGTTTCCTTTCTGAGTGGCATCTATTATCTGCAAATGCAATTTTAAAAATAGTTAAAAAGCAATTTAAATTTATATTTTCCCATGGTGTTAGTAAAGTTTTGAAGTGAATTTAACATAGAAAGCATTCTCAAAAAACAAAAAAAATAAAACATATATTTTACTTATACACAAAAATCAATCAACCTAATAGCCCTTCTTATCCCTAGTTACATCCCTTATTATATATGTACCATTAGACTAAAAGAACTGAGAATCCCAACAGCTAGGGGCAGAGAAGAGGGTCTAGGTTTCTGGTTATATTTGTTTTAGGAACTCTCAGTGTGGAAATTCCCTCCACTAACAGACTATAAATTAGCAATCTGCAACTTTTACAGTCTTAGAGAACTGTGTGGGAAGCTGAGAAGTTAACTGATTTGCTCAAGATCACAGAGTTAATATCTACTGGAAGCAGGAGACGAATCCAGGTCTTCCAAACTAAAAGGCTATTCCTCTATCCCTTACCACAATACTAATGTCTATAAAAATTCATCCTTAAATACCACATCATACAAAAGATACTGTTAACAAAGAATCTAATTTCTTTTTTCTGACTCATTTAAGGTCATATATTGCTTTTTCGTTTCTGTTAAATTATGTGACCATTCCTCAAGATTACCATTTCCTCAATGAAGTACGCAAAGTCTCAATAATAAATTATCTTCTTTCTGTACATAAGGGAAGGAAAAAAGCATTTATTAAGCACTTGCTATGTGCTAGGCACTACGCAAAGTGCTTTACAGATATCTCATTTCATCTTCATAACAAGCTTGTGAGGTATAGATACTATTATTATCCCCATTTTACATATGAGGAAACTGAGGCAGACAGTACAGAAGTTAAGTGACTTGTCCAGGGTCACACAACTACTGAATGTCTGAGGCTAAATTTGAACTCAGGTCTTCCAGACTCCAGGCCCAGGGCTCTATCCACAGCACCACCTAGTGGCTTACTATGTGAAAGTTAAGAGGAAGTCAATTTATCTACCCATCTTTTTTATATGTCTAGTCTTTATTTTCTTATTATTTGTATCAACTACTTCTTTCTAAAATGGGATGTCTTAATCTGGGGCCAGTAAATTTGTTTTTCTGATATTTTTATAACTATTTCAACATATTTAGTTTCCCTTGCCATCCTATGTACTCCATCTTATGCACTTAAAAATATTATTCTGAAATCCAAGGAACCATTGGCTTCATATTGCCAAAGGGGTCCATGACACAAAAATGGTTAACAACTGTTGCTCTATAAGTTCTTGAAAAGGCTACTTTCTCAGCTATCAATGTCTCGTACACAATATACAACTGTAGAAACACACAAAGTGGGCCTTCAAAATTGTTAACCAGCAAAGGACTGCTAATCTATTCAACTAACAGTTTGGTATAAAGTATACAAGGAAAAAATTGCATTTTCCTTCTCAGTTTCCTAAAGTGACTAGAAATTTAAATTTTCTCAACACTTTCTAGATCATATCTCAAATGTCAAAAATGTAGCACGTACTGAATTATTACTCCCATAGATTCGCTGAATTTACTAAGAAGTAAATAACTTGAAGTGGGGGAAAAAAATATGGATAGGATAGTGAAACATAAATTATACCCACAATCTGTCTTATTCTCAGAGATCTTTCTCCAACTTTCCAAGTCATTACATTTCGGTTCTACATTTTTCCTAAAACACCTTCTCATTTGATTAAAAAAAAAAAAAAACAACAACCAAAAAACTGGGCCCTCATGGGCCTGATCCCACTTGCTGATTGGCACAGTAACTTTAACTTTCTTCATTTCCAAACTGAGCTGATTCATCTCTCCTTAGCCTAAAGGCCCAGTGGCTGACCATACTGATACTGGACTTAGTGTGAACATCCTATCTAAGCTTTATCTTGTCTGTGGCTCAGACTCCTAAGCCCAAGAAATTTACCAGCTTCAGACACAGAAGTACATCATTATACCTGGCCTTCTCACTCATCTTACCTCTGCTAGTATACATTTCCCATCAGATTTATGCAGCCATATAAAAAAATTATTTTGTACAAGCACACTGTCTCCTTATTCAAAGAACTTTCTTTACTTGAAAACATTTCTCCTACACTGATAAGCTCTTCCTGCTTCTGTACACTCCCATCTCTCACCCAATTATATCTGATTTGTTGAAATCAACTTAAGTTCACATTTATTATGTTAAAACTTCCTTGTCTTTCCATTTCACATCACCTTCACCTTGGCAAAAACAAAGTACTACACTGTCCTTAAAACCATTATTTAACATCTTCCTTTTTCTGTTTGGTAAGTTGATCTATTCTCTGGTCTCTGCTCCTCTTCTTATTCATCAGTACATCACTTGGTGCTCTATTTATCTCCTATTCTGACAGCAACATAAAAAAAAATAATAACCTCCCCTTTTTCAGTCCCTTCCCTTTTACTTCTCAGAGTAAACTGATTCAGATCTCCTTACTGTAGCTTTCACTTTCATTAGATTATCAAAACTTCTCTTCTACTAAAACTATTATTGATTCTTTCTGGACCCTGTCATTTTAAAGTCAACATAGTAAATTACCAAGTCCAACAAAATAGCTACTATTCTATACATTAATTATTTCTCTTTATTAGTTCCAGGGGAAACAATCCCTGAGAGTTAACTTACCTCATCATTCTTCAGTGCCATGAAATAATAGTGAATATTCTTGTTACGGGCATATTCCTTTACCCTGGCTTTAAATTCTTTATGGTCTAATACCTCTCCACAGTATTCCAAGACAAAAGTATTCCTATAAAATTCAAGGGGGAAAAAAAAGCACAATTCCCTATATTCAAAGCTGTAAACAGTTACCCTATCATGCAAATTAAAAACTTACTACTTTAGACAGTCAACTTATTTAAAAACTTATCACTTTAGACAATCAACTTATTTCTAACAAGACACACTGATAAGCATGTTAGTTTAGCTTTAAATAGTATAGACATTAGCATCATCCATACAACAGGTTAAGAGCTTTAAGGCAATTTGGGAATTTACCTGAATAATTTTAAGCTGTATACTCTGGAAGAAAACAATTAGCATATGTAATTAAACAAAAGACTACTTGACTCTTGATTACCTTACTCTCTTAACATCACTGATGACCTTAAATACAATGTTCTTAAGCCTAAAATATAATGTCTAAAATGACCAAGGATCTTAAAAATCCAGTATCCTTTTCTCACTCACTCTTCTTGAATTCTTATGTAGCATTTAGCATAGTTTCTGCTCTTTCGTTTAATTCCTCCCTCAGTTTGTGCAATGCTGTACTAAACTGGCTTTCCTTGTGTGTTCTGATAGCTTTGGCTCATACTAGTGTCCATTCTCCCTTCCCCCTCTACTGTTCTCCTCCTATCCCAAATGTATATGGTCCCCAAATTTCTATTCAGACACTTCCTAATGACCTCATTCTATGGCTTTAAACTCACCTCTACAACATATAGCTCTCATTTTTATCTTCATTTCTACCCTCTCTCTCATAGATCCATTCCACATTTTTATTTGCCTGCTACAGCTTTCTATCTATTATGTCCCAAAATTACTTCAAACTTATTAAGTACAAAGACTTGGCTCACCTTTGCCTAAAACAAGCTTTTTCTACTATACATGCATTTTAAGAGCATCATCATTCTTCAATTACCCAGGTAAAAAGTCATCTTTGCATTCAAAATCTTTTATGATCCCTAATCCACCACCAAGTTTCACTAATTTTTCCACTATAGTTTTTTTTACATTCTTCTCTTCCATAATTAATGCTACAGACTACTTCAAGCAAGAACTAATTATGTTAACTATTGTAAAAAAAACAATAATCTCCTAGTTACACTTGTCTCTTCTCTATCCAGTTCTTCCTCAATGCTACCACTAGACCTGATCGTTCAAACATCATCAATGGTTCCACACTACTTAGAGTATAAAAGTTTGATTTCTTTCTGATGTAATTCAAGGAACTATGAAATATGGTCCTAGTTGACCAATCCTATTTCCTACTCAACTTTGCTGAATCTAACAAACTTATGTGAAGTCATTATCCCCCAATGACCCTTACAACATTTTGAACACTACCTGCCACATTTGGCATGTTTTGTTCCACTCTCCACTCTCAATTTATTCAAATACTATGTATCTTTTTGTTTACTGACAAAAGCACCCAAACAAATGTCATTTGTTATTAAATATTCAGTGAAATGACAGCTCCTTGAAGGCAATGGCTTTGTTTTGCCTTTGCATCCCCAAAATCTAGCAAAATGAGTCACTACGGCAGGTATTTAATGCTTGTAGAACTGAAATGATCTCTTCACGAAAAATTTCCACTTTTGGAGAATTCTCAAGAAGCTTATAAAACAGTAAGAAATTTAAGACAATTGTAACAATGTATATAACAAAGTACCATAGGTGACTGAATGACAGATATGTTATTTGTACATGAGGAGATAAAAGAGAAGAATAGCATAGGATCAGTAACAATTCCTGACAGTGGAAGTGTGCTGTGCACAAAGCAGACAGAATGTGATGAGATATTTAGGTCAAATTTTCAAGGGCTGGTATGATATAGGTAGGCAGAAGGGACAGCATAAGAAACAGTAGGAAACACTGGAGTCTGTTTGGGGATTACAGATGGTCCTGTTTGGCTGAGAACAAATCATGAAGGATCCTCTGAAAACCAGAATAGGAACACTTAAAATTCTTGTGTTTTTCATTTTTCAACTGCTTAGTTCTTGGTAGCCCAAACTTATTATAAAGTATTATGAGAATAAGAACCATGTATCACAATTACTTTGTACACTTCCTGTGCCCACCTATCTTTTATGAACAGTGGGTGCTTAATTTCAAGTGCTTGGCTCTTCCTCCTTTTGAAGAAAACAGTTTTCATTTTTAATAATACCTATTCGGGAAGCAGAAAATACTAAATCTTATTTCCCTAATCGCAACTATTTCGGATCACCAGATCTTTAAATGGTCATTTCATAATCATACAATTTTGGCTCTTAAAAGGATCCTAAAGGCCCAGTTCAGTGTTATCATTTTACAGAATGTAACGGAGTAGTTTTGCACTATAAGAAATGATCAAAGTGGTAGATTCAGAAACTTGTATGAATTGACAGCAGAGTGAAATGAACAGAACCAGACAATTTACATGATGATAATAACATAAAGGAAAAGAATTATCAAAGGCTTAAGAACTGATCAAAGAAATGAGCAATCATGACTCCCAAAGCACGATCACAAAGCCTGTCTTGAACCTGTGGGCAGAGGTAAAGGACAAGACACGCAGACTGTAATATATATTTTCAGACATGATCAATGTGTGATTTTTTGCTTAATTATAATTTTATTAAAAGGGAGGGCTTTTGGGGGGGCGATAAGTGGAAGAAATAAGTAGTGATGATGCAAAAAAGAAAAGTATCAATGAAACATTTAAAAAAAACACAAAAGAAAAAAAAACACAGAAGGGAGAAGAAGTTCATAAAGGGAGAAAGACAAGTACGGAAGTGCTGGTATTACCATATTAAATATATCCTTCCAGGGATGGAGAACTTGCAGCCTCCAGGCCATATGTGGCCCAAGTGGGGCCCTTTGACTGAATCCAAACTCCACAGAACAACTCCCCTTAATAAAAAGGTTTGCTCTGTAAAACTTGGACTCAGTCAAAAGGCTGCCTGAAGGGCCTAGAAGGCTACACGGAGCCTCAAGGCATCAGGTTCCCCACCACAGTTTTAGACTAATAAGCTGTGCATGACAGAGATTCATAGTTTTATATACAATCCTCTTTCTGTTCTTTGACTATCCAAATGTTCATCTGTTTTAATGCTTAATGTTCATATTTTTTAAAAAAGTTTTTCAAAAAATTTTCCTAATCATTAATAGTAAGAGTAATACAAATTAAAATAACTCTGAAGTTTCATTTCACACAATGGTTAACAAAAGATGGGAGCAATCAATGTTGGAAGGTCTGTGGGACTATATACACACTGTCACACAGTTGTCAGAGTTGAGTCTAAAGCATACTGAAGACCAATGTGAAATTAATCAAGAAAAATGTCAATTTGGCATTGACCTGTTAGTCAATCAATAAACAACGATTAAGTGCTTACTATGTGCCACATACTGTGCTAAGCATTCAGAATACAACATATAAACAACTATGTTAAGATATATACAGGATAAATTGGAGGCAATAAACATAATAGAACATTTATATGGGGGGGTCAAGAAAGACTTCGTGTAGAAGGTGAGATTTTAGATAAGACTAGGCACGGGGGACAGCCAGTGAAAATGCCTGGATTTGTGACATGAGTGTCTATCCAGTGTCACTGAATCACAGAGTACCAGGAAATAAGTAAGGTGTAAGAAAACTGGAAAGGAGGAGGCCAGGTTATAAAGGATTTTGTGTACCATTTTATATTTGATCCCAGAGGCAACAGTACTCACTGGAATTTCTTGAAAATCAGACCTGTGCTTTTAGGAAGCTCAGCTGAGTGAAGGATGGTTTGGAGTGGGTACAGACATTAAGCATGGGATCAAGGTGGAGGAGAGAGGATTGAAATGACTGCTATAAAATAAAGAAACCACCAATACAATCTTTTTTTTTTTAAATAAAGTGAGTCATATTTATGGAAGACCTTCAATACCAGGCTGGGAGGTCAGAAGGTGTTTTTAAGCAGAGATATGATATGATCAGAGATGGGCTTTAGGAAGGTTCACCTGGTAACAATACAGAAAGATCAGAAGGAGGTACAGAACTAATAACCCCAAGTGAGAAGTCATAATGGCCTCAATAGCAGCAGCAATGGAAAGGCAAACTAAATCAAATGAACATGACTTACTAGATATGAAAGGTGAGTCTGGAATAACAATGGGTTTTAAACCATATAGTCATGAAATAGTGTAAAAAAGTGAGAAAGAAAGGCGTTTTTGAAGTACAGTTAAAGAAATTG